TCCCCGGGGGCGGGGCCCGCGCCCCCACGTGACCCCCTCGGGGCCGCCCCGGGAGCGGGTTTCGGCGGGTGGGCGGGGCGAGAGCCTGGGAGTCCCCGGAGGCGAGGAGCGAGCGGCCGAGTGGCCGGGAAGCCCCGCTCCAGCCGCGGGGGTGGGCTGAGCTCCCGCAGCGCCCGGCTCTCCACCGCCCCCCCCCCCGCCCCCGGGGAACCAGGGGCGCAGAGGGGGAAAGCCGCCTGATTGCAGGCTCCGCGCACTAATGGGATTGCAAGAGCGCCAGCAAGAAGGGATTAGTGATGAGAGGAACTCGCTGAAATTACATTGGGTTTTTTTTTTCAAGTCTGTAGCAAAGGCAATGGAGAAGGAAACACATTTTCTGCAAACCCAGCTGAGTGCAGGGACTACTTTGCAGAGAGGGTCAATGTTGCAAATCGTCTGTGAAACATGAGAGCAAATCCAGTCATGTGCAGCCTAGGCATTATGGAACATTCTGCTAAGTGTGCTGATGAAGAATGCTTTCGATCACTCTCCGCAGCGACTTTCCGATATGAACCTGGATTTGCCAAAGACGAAGATAGTGACAACATATTGATACCACTTACTTGAGCATCTGATTAGTTCCAATCAAGCCCTGCTGCATGCGCATGGCTGTACACATGTCTGTTTCCTGAAATCCTCCGGCCGGGAATCTGATCTGCCTGACAGGACAGAGTTCATTCCCAGGCGCTCATTATTTCACGTTTTCTCATTTTTATCACACTCTGCAGCGGCGAGTCATCTTACTATTCCAGAAAGTATGCACAATGTCAACAGTCCCCGTGCACAACTGACAACAGCCTTGCCTAGAAAGCCCCAGACAACTCCAACTGTGGTCATTTCGGAGATTTGAAAACTCAAGCAGCGAACAGATCAACTTTCCTTGCCAACCCACACAAGCTTTCCCAGCTGGGCGAGGACCCAAGCGGGAGCTGTTTGTATTCCAGTTTCACATGGACTGGTTCACTTGCACTTGGGTCTGAATCACCATTTTAACACCCCCTCTCCCGCCCCTGAAGGGATGTGAAATAGATTGTTTTACCAACAGGCCTGGGGCTGGCTGCCTGGCTCTTTATTCCCTCGGCTTTCCTATTTCTAGATCTCACCCCCGCGTTTTACCACCGTTCCCTCCAGAGGAGCAACATCGCTCCGCGGAGGCCAGTCTCCCGCGTGAGGCCACCCAGGCCCTCCCCGGGCCATCGATTCCTTTCAGCACCAGATGTGACAAATCGGCAAAGTGGCCGCGCGGGTTTTCTAGGTCACTCGTCACCCGTTTGTTTTTCTGAGTGATCAGCAACTTACCTTGTGCTTCAGGTTCCTGAGATAAGAGGTCAAACGCCACGGAAATCTGCTCCTGCGGGGCCGGGGTCTGATGGAGACAGAAAGCCGCAGGCTCACTCTCCTGCCAGGGGTGACTGTCAATTTCAGCCTCAGGCTCCCAGACCCGGCCACCCCGCCCCCCGCCAGCCGGGGGCGTCACGTGCTCGGCCCAGCCACTCAGCCCAGCCGCTCGGCCCAGCCTCCCAGCCCTGCCCAGCCGGCTCTGTCACCTCCACCTCTTGCCGCTGGAGGCCGGGGCAGGCCGATCTCCTTCGCCTACACCCGGTGCGTTCATGACCAGAGAGAACCCGGAGTCCCGACCCAGGACGCCCTGCCGGGCTGCACGGCTTCTGTGACTGGGGTTCCCAGAACCGATGGGGCGCGGGGGTCCCTATAAAATGCCCTCCTGCCGTCTGAGGCGGCCGGTCTGAGGCGGCCGGCTCTTGGCAGGAGTGGCTAAAGTAGAGCACCTTCCTCCTCGTGGGTGACAGTTTTGCCCGCAGGTTAGTTTCACCTTCTGTTGACAAGGTGATTGCTCAAGTGTGAAAAGCCTGGCAGCACACAGGCGGCTCAGAGGAGGCGCGACCCTGGGCCGTGCAGTTGGCAGCAGAATGAGCCCCTGAGAACTGCTGCTCAGAAAAATCTTGAGGAACCAAGACGCCAGCCAGGCTCCGGGGTTAATGTTTAATCGTCGGGAGGCCCGGGCTCAACTTCTCTTCCATTTAAATTCACATCCTATTCAGCCCGTGGAGCTGGAAGGTTCCTGTTCCCACCCTGCATGCCATGATTCTTCAAATATTGTGTTCCCACCTTTGCGGTTTCCTTCCTGCCCACGGTGCCTCTGGCTTCTCACAGGTTTCGGGTTTTATCCCTTTGAATCCTTTCCTCTTGATGATCTGCTGCTGGGACATTTGGCGATGGGTGAGGACCTTCCTGGCCGCCACACTGCGAGGGAGGTGCTGCTGGCACCCAGTGGGTCGCGGCCAGGAACGCTGCCAGGGCAGCGCTATGGCAGCGAATGTTCCAGGCCAGGGCAGCAACAGGCAGAGGTGGAGAGACCCTGGTCTACAATTTCGTATAAAGTATAATTTGATGCCCAAATGTTTCATTTCCCAGCCATTTTTAAGAGTGCATCCTGTTGACCAATGTCACCCCAATAAATTTAATTTAAAAAAAACAACAGTGTATAAGGCGCTGGAAATTCTGTTCCTATATTGCCTGCACGTTCTACACTATTGGCTGTGTGTCCCTACACTATTGGCTGCGTGTCCCTACACTATTGGCTGCGTGTCCCTACACTATTGCCTGCGTGTCCCTACACTGTTATCTGCGTGTCCCTACACTATTGCCTATGTGTCCCTACACCAGCCGTGGGCAAACTACAGCCCGCGGGCCGGATCCGGCCCGTTTGAAATGAATAAAACAAACAAAAAAAGAGACCGTACCCTTTTATGTAATGATGTTTACTTTGAATTTATATTAGTTCACACAAACACTCCATCCATGCTTTTGTTCCGGCCCTCCGGTCCAGTTTAAGAACCCATTGTGGCCCTCGAGTCAAAAAGTTTGCCCACCCCTGCCCTACGCTATTGCCTGCGTGTCCCTACATTGTTATCTGCGTGTCCCTACACTATTGTCTGCGTGTCCCTACACTATTACCTGCATGTCCCTACACTGTTGCCTGCGTGTCCCTACACTGTTGCCTGTGTGTCCCTACACCAGTGATGGCGAACCTTTTGAGCTTGGCGTGTCAGCATTTTGAAAAACCCTAACTTAACTCTGGTGCCGTATCACATAGAGAAATTTTTGGATCTTTGCAACCATAGTAAAACAAAGATGTATATTTTTGATATTTATTTTATATATTTAAATGCCATTTAACAAAGAAAAATCAACCAAAAAAATGAGTTCGCGTGTCACCTCTGACACGTGTGTCATAGGTTCGCCATCACTGCCCTACACTGTTGCCTGCGTGTCCCTACACTATTGCCTGCGTGTCCCTACACTGCTTCGTAATCGATGTGTGGACACTGCCAAGGGTGGTCATTTCTGGGGCCGAGATCCGGTGGCTGGGGCACAGAGGTGGAAAGGAAGTTGTCACAGGCGCAGACACACATTACATAGTCAAAACCCCTAAACATGCTTATCAAAACTTCACCCCATATTTTGAGTCAAGTGGATGAAGTTAATAAGGCTACAGTCAGCCCTGGCCAGTGTGCTCAGTGATTACCACATTGGCACACAGACTGAAGGGTCTCAGGTTCAATTCTCAGTCAAGGGCACATACCTGGGTTGCAGGTTCTAGCTCCAGCCCCAAGGTCAGGGAGCATGTGGGAGGCAAGCAATCAATGTGTGTCTCACATTGATGTCTCTCTCTCTCTCTCTCTCTCTCTCGCTCTCTCTCTGTCTTCCTCCCTCCCTTCCACTCTATAAAAATCAATGGGAAAAATATCCTCTGGTGAGGATTAACAACAACAATGAAAGACTACAATCAAACACACACACAGCTGTAAGAAAGGCCCAGGTGCACCAATTTATTTGCCCGCCATTGTCAACTGCATAAGCCCACTCTGCGGAGACCTGCAGGGCGCATAACCGCAGGCTGGTTGGAAATGACTGTTTCCCTTGCCCGACTCTGCAGTCGTCAAAAACAGCCTGTTTTTATTTTAACACTAGAGGCCTGGTGCACGAATTCATGCACAGGTGGGGTCCCTTGGCCTGGCCAGTGATTGGGCTGATCAGGGGCGATGGGGGCTGGCTGCCTGCAGAGGGACTGCCGGAGGGCTCCAGGGCGTGTCTGACCCTCTCGCCCAGTCCCGATCAGCGGGACCCCAGCAGCAAGCTAACCTACTGGAGTGTCTGCCCCCTGGTGGTCAGTGCGCATCATGGCAACCACTTGGTCGGACACTTAGCATATTATGCTTTTATTATATAGGATGTGACATTTTGCTCATTGTGAATTTTTGCACTACATGTGATTTTTATAAATATTACCTTGATTACTGATTTTTTTGGTGCCCACATACATTTGCACCCAAGGCGCCTTCCTCACCTCCTCCAAACTCCAGCCTGAGTATCTGGTAAACTCTTCTATAAACAGCGAGTCTGCCAAAACCTGGAGGTGCTCTTTCATCTCTGATGTTCTGAGCTCCTGCACAACTGGGCACATTCTCAGAATGAATGAATGAATGAATGAATGCCTTCCCCCACACCCAGCTTGACCACTGCTATAGAAGATGTGAGGAACAGCCCTAGTTGGTTTGGCCTGTGGACCAAAGGGTCCTGGGTTCAATTCCGGTCAAGGGCACGTACCTCGGTTGCAGGCTCCTCCCAGGCCCACGTCGGTCGATGTTTCTCTCTGCCTTTCCCTCTCTCTTCCACTCTCCCTAAAAATCAATGCGAAAAATATCCTTGGGTGAGGATTAACAGCAACAACAAATTCATTGAAATAAACAAAATGTAAAATTCAGCTCCTCGGTCACATTAGCCACATGCCAAGCGCTCTGTAGCCCCTGTGGCCAGCAGCCACCAAATGTAAGGCAGAGACACCACAATTCCGCCGCCGCGGAGTCCTACCGAATGCACTGTAAAGCATTTCTTTGCAAAGAATTCTATTGCAATTAAACACTCACTGTTTATTACCCAGGGGATCCAGCCTGTCATTGTGGGACCGGAAGCGTGATCTGGTTAGAGTATGTGCTGGCGGGAGAGGCAGGAGGCGCGCACGGAGCCCAGGGGCCGCAGGTCCCGGGCAGATGCTCCCGCCCCCAGGAACGTGTGGCCCTTGGGCTTCCCCAGGGGCCGGCGAATCTTGTTCCAGAATGAGAGGGGGCAGCCGATCGTCTGTTTCAAAGCAAAATTGAGACACAGGAGAAGAGCACACGCATTGGAATAAAAGAGCAGGCCCTTCAAGGCCCTTCAAAGATGAGGGCTTCTGGGACGGCTGAGTAACAACCCCCCCCAAGCTGTTTGCACCCGAATTCCTGGACCTGTATAGATGTTACCTTAGGTCAGTGGTTGGCAAACTGCAGCTCACGAGCCACATGTGGCTCTCTGGCCCCTTGAGTGTGGCTCTTCCACAAAATACCGACTTCTGCGCATGGGCCACGAAGTTTCAATCGCACTGTACGTGCGCCCCCGCACGTGGTATTTTGTGGAAGAGCCACACTCAAGGGGCCAAAGAGCCGCATGTGGCTCGCGAGCCGCAGTTTGCCGGCCACTGTCTTAGGTGATAGCTCCTGAGACCGGGAGGCGATCCTGGGAGATGTCATCACAGCGTCCTTACAAGGGGCAGGCAGGAGGTCAGGGTCAGAGAGAGAGGTGCCAACAGGAGCAGAATACAGACAGACCTTTGAAGATGCCACTCCACCGCCTGGGAGACGGAGTGAGGGGCCAACGCCAACAATCACCCTGATTTTAGCCCAGCGAGACCCATAGTGGACTTCTGACCCCCAGAAACATGAGAATGGATCTGTGTCGCTTTATGTCACTAAGTCCGTGGTCATTTTTCCAGCCGCCATAGTCACCTAACAGAGCCCTGACCACCGATTTACTGGTCCGTGTTGATGGAGCACCCGGAGCGCCCAGTGCCAGGCTCTGGAGTGACCCGGGGGCCCAGCCCCCGAGCTCACCGTCCACGGGGACAGCAAGGAAACGAGGCCTTCGCATGGATGCGGGCAGCTCTAAGGAGAGAAGCACTGAGCTTTCAAAGTGGGAACTGCCAGTGATGGAAGGAAAGACACACACGGCCCCGCCGGCGTGGCTCAGTGGTTGAGCATCAACCTATGGACCTGGGAGGTCACGGTTCAATGCCTGGTTGGGGCACAGGCCTGGGTTGTGGGCTCGATCCCCAGTAGGGGGCATGTAGGAGGCAGCCAATCGATGATTCTCTTTCTATGATATCTCTCTCTCTCTCTCTCTCTCTCTCTCCCCCTCTCCCTTCCTCTCTGAAATTACTCAAAATATATTTTTTTAAAAAGAAGAGGGAGATTTAGAGGCAAAGAGACACAGAGAAGGCCACGTGAAGACGGAGGTGGGACTTGGGACCCCCAGAAGCTGGAAGAGACTTTGAAGGGAGGGCAGCCTGCCAACGCCTTGGTCCCGGGCTTCTGACCTC